TGTAATCCTTTCTTGTGGTAGAAATCATTTTCCTCATGTGGGGAAAGAGTGATTATTGTGATGCCTGCAGGTCTGTGGACTCACTAAGGCTGATGTGCTGAGCTTGAAAAATATGCAGCAGATTATCTTATATCTATTGCCCACTCATTCACTGGAGGGTTCTAATCCCTTGTCCTCTCCTCCCTGCGGTGCCCTACTTACTGTGGGCTGAGACTCCTGCCTGACTGATCCCAGCAGTGCTGGGTTGATGAGGTCACCAGGTTAAAGCCCAAGGCTTGAGCTGGTGCTTAACATCCAGTGTCGATTTTTACAGCCATTTTTTCTCTTCCCTGCTTCCTTAATTAGTATTTAAATATTCCAAATGAAGTGGAATAGGTCAAACAGAAGCCATTAATGACCTGAATCCAGAATACTCTGTAGCCTATTTACTGGAGTGCTCATCTGGGGAGTACAACAGACATGTCAAAATCTACCAGCTCTCTCATTTAGAGCACACTGCACTGAGGTTTCTCACATCCCAATGCATTGCCCTAGCAACAATATTATTATTTAAAAGTGAACAGCCTCTTTGGTTTTTTTAGTATTGTAACTATCCCTCTGCTTTTAATATACCTAGCCTTAAAAAGGCATTGCATATTGAATATTTTACTTATTTGTTTTGTGTTATTGGAAGAATAAGATTGTTATATATAAAATAGTTATGAAGTGATATAAATAGAGAAAATTACTCTTTTCACCTGAATGAGTCTGAGCAGAATCAGTTTAATTATTAATTTTGGATGTTTAGTTTTGTTTCATTTTCCTACTAGTGTAGGAGAATGTGTAGCTGTTGAACTCTAAAATCAAGTCCCCATCCTTAACCATGGACTCCTATGCTTACTAAGTTTTAAGGAGATAATGCCTTAAAAAAGAGTATTTCACCTAAGCTGCCAGGACTACAACCTCACTCTGGATTCTGAAAGTCACACGGTGTTCTCCTGAAAGTTGTCATCAATTGTCAAGGTTTATTTATACTTACGAGACCTTATGGATCTTCAGATTGTATTCTAAGTGACAACTCTGAAACCAGAGGAATAGTAAGAATCTCAGAGTTTTAGCTGTTTGGAATTTAGCAATCAATCTGTTGATGTAAAGGTGACATTTGCGACCTGTTTGGGCAGTCCTGTGTGCATGAGAAATTGTGATGTGCAGTCAGAGGTATATATCCCTGGAGTAATCTTTTTATAGAAATAAATATATATAACTTTTTTAAGTTCCCATCCTCATTGAAAATCAATACCAATCACAACCCAAAGTGCCAAGAGGCTCTAGCAGACATGTGGCGGTGGATTAAAATTGGATGGCTGAAATTGTAGCAGCCTTCAGCTGCACCCTCCACTCCTGTGATGGATGTTGCCTCTCCCAGAGTAGGGACAACTGATCTGCTCATGAATCTCCTGATCCACTACAGTGCTCATCAAAAGTAAACTGACTTGGATTCAGGCTGGCTGTAATATGGGCACAGAAATTTGTCTTGAGAGAGAAAATGTTTATTATATGGACAGCAAGGATACCTAGGAAATTTCAGCAATCTGATTTTAACCTGATGCTGAATGACCTCTGCTAATTGTAAATGTAGAACTCAATAGGCTCCATCAGGTGATTTCAAAGCAACAAAAATGCCTGTTTGGGCACCTCAGTCCCCCACTGGGCACCCAAATCTCCCCTGACCACTTGGGCAGGAGTTCTGCCTAACTTTGGCGCTTTTCTGAGAAAAAGGAGAGTCACTGCTGGCTGAACTGATGAAAACATTGTATGTACATCCCATTTTGCTCTATTGCCTAGCTTTATAAATATTATCACTGAAGGTTTGCAGAGAAAGTTAGAACTGGTAGAAGGTGGACAGAAATGAAGAGAGCACATAGACGCCTGAAAGCGAGAAAGAACCAGAGAAAGGCAAGCAGAAAACACCTTGGGTACTAGAATTATAGAATGCTTGTGGAGAGAGGGAGATCATCTCAGTGTTATTACCTCTTCATTTTGGAGTCATGAAGTGGTGATGGTACCAATATACAATCCACCCTACATGCGATTATGTAGCAGAAAACAATGTCTTTCTGAGGAATCATCAGATAAAATCCTCCAGTCAATTTTGTTTATATAGGTATCTAGGGACATAAAAATCTAATTTCTATTTGCTTTAGGACATCCTGTCTAGGTTTTTTTCTTGGGAAGTTCCAAAGTTACTGTCCTTTAGATTTTGCCTGCCAGTCCTGTGAGGACATTTTTGATAATCTAAAGCACTTAAAACAACACTGGAAATCTTTCTTAGGCCCCTGAATCACATTGCAAGCACCTGTATCAGGAACATCCAGCAGTATTACAGTACTTTCCTAGCTTGACTTCCAGTCAAATTTGAATCAATAACTGTTCACTCACACTTTAATGAATGCAACAATAGCGATTTTATTGTACAACATCCTGCGTTTTTAAAGGGAAATCTGACTTGACTACATCAACAGGCCAAAAGCTTGTCATAGATAACCTTCTAGCATACTTGATCTCTGTCTCTGCAGCATTGCTCTGATTGATAAATCATCATTTACTATTTTCTTCACCAAAGACGTGTAGTGGTCTGAGTTTGAAAAGTTAGGTACGCTAAATAGTAAGGAACTATTTTTACATAACAACAAACCTAGAGGAATGATCCTTTGACTGGTAATTATAAGTCTATATCTGTATACACATATCGAGTTTTAATTGTTTGTATTATAACTGCAAATATCTGCCACTAGGATGTCCTTGAAGACATGCTGTGGTGCTAATCAGATTTGTTAAGATGAGACAGTACCTTTCTATTCTCTCTTACATATCATAAACTCTGACTGATATCCCCAAGGGGAAAAAAAGCATAATGTGTCATTTATGACCTGTTACATGCACAAATTACTTCCATCGTGTATGCAGTAAGATGATAAAATGCTATTGATTTTGAATTTGGCTTAGGAAGCTGATCTTTATTCTTAGTTGTCACTTGGCAAATTTTTCCTCCTGCTCTGAATTGTTTGATCTAAAATTTTTGTTTGGAGAAATGGATGCAGTGATGGTTTTATAATATTTTTTTAATTGTATACGTTCTATCCTAGGGGATAGATATTATTTAAGAGCAGAATAAATATTCTATAAATAAGAACAAATTTCAAATAAGTAACACAAAACGTGTAATATGGCAATTTTGATTTTACAGCTCTGCTGTGTAGCAGAGCAGTTTTTCAGGGCTTGAGGCAAGGCACTGATCAGCACCAAGATTCTTGTGCAGAAGCAAAATTAAAAGGCAGAGCTAAGGCAACTACTCATTAATACAATGCACTGCATAATAATTTTTTTTAAAAGGAATTCTAGAACAGATTAGGACATTAATTTGAAAACTCAACAGGTATGACAGATTAAGAATTAGGGAATCTCTTCCAACAAAATTATCCTTCCCAATTTTATGTTTTTGTCAGATGCATAAAGGGGCATTTCAGTATCATATTAGAATATTGTTTTAACATTCTACAGGAAAGGAACCATTATTCATTAGCATAAGGATCAGAAGAATTGTTTGGGCAAAATAGGAAGGGGAAAATATATGTATATATGGTAGTATTAATGATTTTATCCTTTCTTCATTCATTTATTTCTTTAAGAATATAAATGTTTTGATTCTCAAGAGAGTCTAAATAGAGATTGTGATGGTAAATATTGGAAAGTCTTCAACAGCCTGTACCTTAGCTCCAGCAAAATTTTCTCAGTGCCTATTTGTCATTTTCTATGTCAAAAGTGAAATTGAATCTGCTTACCTCCATGCAGAGCAACTCTGACACACAGAAAATATCATTTTTATAGATTGCATCAACTGTGACAGAAGACAAACAAAAAGCAAAGATCTGCACAAACCAGGTGCTACGTGATTCCTTGAAAGTTTAGATGTCTGTATGGACAAGGGTCTCTTAAATCATTGAAATTAATTTATGCAAGTTGATGTCAGACCAAGAACACATGTAATATATCTTTGAAGATTTTAACTCTAACATACAAGATATTGCAAACTAAGTGGAGACTCTGTGGTCTTCTACTAGTTTGAACTGTGGTGTTCAGAATACTTATACTATTGTCATTGTATATAATGGCAAAAAATGTATGTCCCTAGATTGTTTAGTTTATCAAAATGTATTTTATGAAGCAGATTAAGTTGAGAACTTTCAAATACAGTTTGGTTTCTGTTACCATAGTTTTGGTTTGTGTGAAGAATTAACGTTTATGTCCAGAATTAACATTTTTAGTACCTCAGGAAGTAGGTTAAGTCACTGCTGTTACTGTCCATTACATAGTTAATGTGTGTCAGCTGGTCACTTAGCTAAGGAACATTCAACTTCCTACCAGCTTTTTACTACCAAACCTATGCTTTCTGCAATCAAGTTTACTTTGCCATTGTAATTTAGGAGATTATTTCATTAAGTAAAAAATTCCACAAACAAAGGTATTTAAAAATCAGTTACAATCTTTTTCACAACTTTCAAGGCTTCTGGACATGGAAATAATTTGTTTTTCTGTTAGATGAAATTAAATATATATATTTCTATTTCTACTGATACATGTCCTTCACAGCAGAATTCCAGCCAAACCTCAAGTGTCATAGATGCATTAGCTCCATTAAAGTCAATGGAAGTTCACTTAATCACATCACCTGAGAATCTGGCCTACAGCCCGTAACAAGACAATCCTTTGGAGGGTAATAATATTTTATGTTTTCATCAATCACTCTCCTAGGCCTGTAGCTATTTGTGGCAGACTCGAAAATGTCATATAATAAAAAAGGCTGGTTGTGCCTATTTCTTCCAGAAAGTCCAAGTACCTTTTTCCAGTAATAAAATCTTTATATTTATTTTAAACATTCTGATGACAAAACAATTTCAAAAGAGCATTCATATTGTTGGCTTTAGGCTCCAAGCTGTTACACTGTTTTCCTCTGTTTTGTCTGTCTGTACAGGACACATGTCGACAACCACGACGATAATAGATGGTAAGAACGGCTCCGTTCCCTCGTCATCCATGAGAGTGAGCAAGAAGTCAGTGACAGAGGACTTTGTGAACACCTTCAGCTCTCCAGCAGCATGGCTTCTTGTTGTTGCTCTGATTGTCACCTGGTCAGCAGTGGCTATTGTAATGTTTGACTTGGTGGATTACAAAGACTTAGCAGGTAAAACTTAACATATTCTTGTATATTCAAATTTAAAAATTTATTAAGCAGCATCTATTACACAAATATGCCAGTGTCTCACCTCCTTGGGGACAGCACAGTGTCTCTGCTGAGTTTACCAAGAGAGAAGATATTGTGAGAAATGTCAGAACACATTAGTTTATACCACATGCACCTTTATAATTTAAGTCTCTCCATTTTGCAGCCCATCCTCATCCTGGAAAATGAATATATTGACAGTAACATAAAATATATATGAGCATGTAAGGTCAAATTCCTGTTTTTCAATTTCTATTTAAATTTTTTTTCTAGAAAAATGAAATTAGTAATTATTAATATTTTCAGAAATATAGTCTTTAATAGTTGCCTTGAGTATTCTGATATTTGCTTACATGGTTCAATGATCAGAAAAATGTAGAATCAGATTCTTAATATTAGCTAAAACACACCCTTGTCTTCGATAATCTAGCCTAGTTTAAAGACTTGGATAGACAAATGAACAAGATCAAGCTTTAGGATAAACATAAATATGATTGATGACATATATATTGATTACAGGGGACAAAGATGACAATGAAGTGGGTGGTACAAGGACTGTGATTCTAATTGAGGAACAGAAAAAAAGAGGGGCAAATAAAAAAATAGAATATTTAGGCCTTTTATCTGGAAATTATATGAAATGGAAATAAATTAGCTACCTAATTATGTTTGCAAAGGGTATGTAGACTTCAGCAAGTCTTCAGTAGTAAAACCTTTGTGAGGCTAACAGCCGTTAACACTTGGGAAACATGTATGTGAACCAGAAAACAAATTATCAGGATCCTTGTCCTCCTTAAATGGGAATTCCAGCTCTAAAGTGATTGCGTCTGTCACAATAATTAACTAGGAATTGAAATTCAGACTTCAGACTTTTAATTCAAAAGAAATTGAGTTGATGTTTTGGAGGAAATTTCCTGGACTTTATTAGTTTATTGATAAATTCAAAGATTTTTTTTTTTGTCCTGCTATATATCAACATCGACTTCAGGATTTACTTAGAAAGCTTTTGAAACAAATGTAGATCTTGAAAGAGACCAACAAATCCTGGATCAATAGACGTCACAGAGCTTCAAATGTGGAGAAAATGTACCACAAAACTTTCTTAAAATTTCTTTTCATGTCTTTGTTTTCAGAAGGACATCTCTGGAGTACCAGGAAAATATAAAGTTATTTTTGAGACCTCCTTCCAAAATAAGCATCAGATTTTAGTTTGGACACCAAACAGCTGATGCTACAACAGAGAGACAAGCCAAGAAAGAAACTCTCATATTCAACTTTAGTTTTCCATATTCACTATGAATCAGCCAATCAATCAGTCAAGCAGTTAATCAAGTTCTTAATATGTTTTCAATGAACAGTCAAGAACCAAGGCATAGCTCAGACTAAATTCTAAAACTCAGAAATTTCTGAACTTGCTATCAGGTCACACTTGCTCAATAAACAAGGGTAACGCTAAGCAATAAGAATTTGTATCTGTACCAGAGTCTGAAGGAAACTTCTGAAGCAGATGGAATTCTGCTCACATTCTACTGGTTAAATGAACTTAAATCTTACAAATGTTGATGGAAAATGCCATTTTCAGACCTGGATGTAGAAATAAAGCAATGCTAAATTTAATCTACAGGGTGAGTTTTTATTTTGTGAAGATCTCTGAGACATACTTCAGTATTTAGAGTTCATGAGTTTGTTTCTTTTCCTTCCCAGCAATATTTCTGTTCCTAAGTGATTAATTAAGCCAGCATTCAAATCAGGTCTTGATGGTCAAACATTAAGAGACAGAACTGCTGTACTTCGTTAGGCAAGGATTTTTTAAACTGTTTTTTGTATTTACATACATATAAGAATAGTTTCATAGTTGTTATCATAACCCTTAAGTTTCCACTCCTGATTTCTTACTGGTTTTTTTGAGTCAAATCCAGTGATTTGTAAAAAAAACATGAAAATAGCTGAAGATTGCACATATCACATAGCTGGCATTATTGATGCAAGAATTATTTTCACTTTTAGACAGTTTGCCTACAATGGAAATAATGCCTCCTTTTCATATAGAAAGTAGAATTTAGGGCATATTTCTAAGTGGATCCTTAAATTTAAAAGCCAGTAATTTTTTTGTCTTAGGTTTGATATTGCTCTTTGAAAAAACAGACCTACATAAAGAGAGTAAATAGTTATATTCGGGGCTGTGAATTTAGTTTTGCAAGCAAGATTTAAATTAATTTCCTAGTTTTCAAATGCAAATGAAAGACGTCCAGAAACTTATATTCAACTGTGGGCTTTGTAAATCCATAAACCACAGAAAAAAACAGTGTATTTCTCCTCAAAGAACACTTGCCTTTCATAAGCCAGTGCTTTCAATCTCTTTCCTGTTTCTCTGCCTGAAGTTCCATGAAGTTCATGCTCAGAAATGATGCATGGCATATGAATGAGGCAGGCTGGGGGAGCTGAACTCAGCCTAGTGGAGACAGGAGGGTGACCGAGGAGCAGCCTGCACATTTTGAAGGGCAGTTAAAGAGCTGCCAGAGGATTCTGGTCTGGGGGCTCCCTACATGGGGACTTCCACTATGTTTCTGTGCCAGAAATGACCATCTCCATGGCAGAGCTGTAGCAGTGGTTGTGCCACACAGGAGTGAGCGCAGCACAAAGTAGGAGCAGGCTGACCTGGTAAACCAGTCAGGGAACTGTGTGGCTGAGGAATAGACATGGATTTTTTTTCCCCCTGATTGCACTACAGACCTGCTAAGCTCTGGAAAATACAGGAAGTGCAATGCCCTGGATTATGAGTTGCCTAGAGTACACAGAGATTCACGGAGCTCAGTAAAAACACTACACGTGACCTGAGAAGGAAGTACTTTAAACTTGAACCTGAGCTTTCTTTTCCTTCAATAATTAACAATTTTACTCTCATTACCTGAAAGGCAAATAATTCCAAAAATACATTAATTATCAGTATATCTATTTTAGCTCTTATATATTCTTTTAATTTGTCGGTTCGAACTTCACACTAGTCTCTGTGATTAGAGTGCCAACCCTTATGTTTTGCTTCTTGATTGCTATGGTTTCACATCCTTTTAACAGTAAACTATCAAGTTTTTGAAATTTTGACAATTTATATAAGATGACATTTGTCCTGGAATGATATGAAAAAGAGATGTTTAGTTTCATCCTAAAGTAGATGTGGTAAATTGCTTTTTGCTGGCCCTCTTTATTCAGCATCTGTAAAGTAGTTTTTGGAACTGAGGGAGGCTGAGGAAGGTTAAAACTTAGGGTTTCTGTAAGTGAAGTTAGATAACATGAATTCAAGATCTGCTCACAGCAAGATTTAATAAACAGTTTTGTGTAATTTTACACATCCAGTACATGATGGCTGTAAATTCTATAGCACTCTGTATTATAGAGGAGGTGCTGCTTGTGACCTAAATTATGGCAGGGTGATCCTGTGTCACAGTTTGCATGTGTAAAGCTTTGCTTCCTGGGTGGTTATGTGTCAGTTTGTTCAGAAGTTAGGACAGGGATAGAATCTACAAATCAGATTTAGCTTTAGCAGTGGATTTCAAGGAAGGTATGAGACAAGAATTAGATCTGTACTGAAAGTTTCACCCCTGTTCTATCTACCCAGAAGAAGGAAATTAAATTTTGCAGTGTTGTGCTTTAGTGCATTATGCTCATTCCTTTGAGGAATCAAATGAAAACTTGCATTCCTATCATGCTGTACTGTACAACTGTGAACATGACTGAAATATTTCAAAGGTGGTATGAAGGTGACATGCATTACAAAAGCTTGAGAGAAGAAACTACAAATCTCAGGCAGTACACAGTGTATACAAATATGGAATAAGTAGTATACCACATTGAAGAATCTCATATATTTTCAATATTTTCAGAAATGAAGAAAAAAGTTAATTTTGGCTTTATGTATGCTTTGCAACAGTTCATTACTTCCATCCTCTGTGTTAGAAAACACACCTTTTTAACAGGCTTCATAATTCATGAATGTATTTCATGCATTTCTTGTACACATAACTGGATTATACATTTGAATTGGTAAATGCAACTCAATAATTTAAGATTATTTTAGTCCTTAAGACTGATTGCCCAGGAATCTATATTTGCTAATGGGCTAATAGAGCATTTAAAATTCCCTGCCATCTCTGTGACCAATTACAGCTAATTAACATCCCCCTAATTTCAGATCCAGTGTGTTCAATATTAGGAGTAAATTGACAGTGATTTAGCCAGTCACCTAAAGGCCAGATTAAATCAAACCTAATGAAGCCTCATCAAATCTATGAAACCCAAAATTACCTACAGAATAATATAGGTGAAAACATAGAAAACACACACAGACACACTTGGCAGAATGAGCTTGCTAAGTTGTTTTGATAAGTAAAAAAACCCAAACATGGATACACTCTTTGTTGAGGCTGATTTGTTTTGCTCAAATAAAGAGGCTTTTTAGAGACCCATAGCAAAAGCAGACCTTTGTGGAGGTAATTCCTTTGGCAAGGAGGAGTTAGCAGTGCATGGAACTCCCATCCAGGCAGATGATTTCTTTCATTATATATCTCTAATCTTTTTAAGTTAATGCAAAACATCTGATCAAATATTTTGAGGCTTCCTATAGTAGCTTCTGAATAACAAAGTCTGAAGTCACCATTTCCTTGCCTGAACCTGCGGTCATTTTTATTACTGCCTTGCAATCACAGATGGATTTTGTCTGGCCTTGGGGAGTATATAATCATTATAAGGAATATACACATACATTTTTCTCTGCAATATCATCTCACTTAAATCACCCTGTTGGGCTAATGTTTACTTGAAATTTTTAAGAAATGCAAAAAGAAAAGTGTAGCTATTTTTGCTCCTGTGTTTTATGACTTTATATACACTAGTTTTTAAACTGAAAATATATTTGCATTTAGTCAGGAAAAAGAATGAACTTCTGGATTAGTTTAAACCACCAGCAAACTTAATGGAACATATAAATTTTTCTCTTTTTCAAACATGCAAAGCCTTAGACAAACCTCCTACTCTGAAATGTATCAAAACAGTGATATAGTCTTCTGAAATATATTTTATACGGTATAAAATTCTGTAAATTCACTGTAATTCACTGTAAATTCAAAGCATGACTGAACAGCTTATCTGTTTCAAAGTTCTTAATGAAGTTCTTAATTGAATTATATAAGACTTCAATTAATGTACCTAAAACCTACAAAACATTTTTTCTCTCTTCCATGAAAAAATCCTTTCAAGGGATTTAAGCCCAATTCCAGTTTATAGAAGGGCTGCTCAGGTGACATCTGGTTTTTCATGTTTCAGTCTGCAGCAGATTTCATAGCTGAGTTATAAACCCCTAGAAAATGAGTTTATACAGAAAAGAGTGACAATCTATGAACTATTGCAGTATTGCAAGTGCTGCTTTCATCCCAAAAGGTCCAGTGTACAAAAGATGATAAATTTTGATAGATTAAACTTTGTGACATTATGCAGTTGAAAATATGAAATTCCAGAGACTGCCTCAATGTATAGGGAAGGATCTAAGAGGAGAGTTCATGGTTAAATATGCTTCATGGGACACAAAGCACAAAGCAAATTCCCAGTGCATAATGCTATCTGTGAAATTTCTAACTTTAAACAAACAAATCAAGCGAGTAATTCATTCCAGTAACAATTGCAGTGATGCAATTCTTTGGTTATTTTCTGTTGAAGAAATTTAAGTAACTCAACTAGAATCACCTATATGTAATATATTATTTTCAGCAATAGAATTTGTTTGTGATTTGTGAAACTACTGTGCTTTGTTTGACCAAGTTTTTACCTTGCTATGATTCACACTGTATTATCTCACACCTACAGCATATTGTTTCTCCATTTAATGAACTCAAATTTCTGCCGCATGACAGCAGCCCCACAGAGATTAAACTTCACTCCTTAAGTGTTTCCTTTAACTAGAGACAGCTGAGAACATTTGTTATTGCTAATGGTGTTTCTTCATTTTTTTTGCTGACCTTTCTGGGGTTCATGCTGTTGCCACCAGGTATAGCACAACATTGCGATGATCCCTGTTTCCCACCTGGTAAAGACCTTCTGCCTGCAGTGTTCTGAAGATGTGTGTGGCTGATAACAAAGCATGGGCACGAGCAGAGGCCAGCACAGGGCAGCACTGCTTCTCAGCTAACCCCAACTCTGCCGGGCTGGGGCTTGCAGCAGCCTGTTCCTCATTTTCTCGTCATGCTTGAAGTAGATCTGACAGCTAAGAGATGCCCCCAGCCAGGAGAGTCCCAGGAAATGGTGTCAAGCTGAGGTACTTTTACAATTTTAATGCCCTTTAAAGGGCGGTAGAGATGCCCTGACAGATCTGAAGATCTGTGTTCTTATTCAGAGAACTGAACCCATAGAATGAGAAAAAAAAATAAAGCTTCAAATTATTTTAGATATGTTTCAGAAAACACCACCTAATGAAGATCTGAGCTATCAAATCAAAACCTTCCAGCTGATATCAAATCATGTCACAAAAACTACACTCAAAGCCCATCCCAAACATGCACTCCTATCCACATGTAGGGCTATATCAAATGGACCTGAAATTACTCAATTACTTTGTGGGAGTTTGTGGATTTCTTTCTAAATTTTGGCAAGTAAATTCTAGTTATAACTGCTTTTTTGTTCACTTTCAAATAAGGTTTCCTCTATGAACTTGACCTCAATATTATTATCTAAGGTTGATATTAGAAAGAGACAGTACAGGTTGTAGTCTTAATATTTACTATATATGTACTTATTACATGGAAATTACTGAGAAAGCTGACTCCGCACTTTTGGACAGTTTTTATATCTAATATAATTAAAAATTCAGTTAGTATTTTTATACTAATAATTCAGTGGTAACAACCAGAGTTTTATCTGTTTATGGCTTAGAACTATAAGCTTGACAAAACTGTTAGTCCATGAAACAGAAACTTAAGACCTAAGGACAGTTATGTTGATAAGCTGGGCCATTACTAATAGGAGACTATGTGTATATTGACTTCAGTATCTTAGATGCTACTTTTGAAAAGATCACAGAATAGAAAGAAAGAAAGTTAAAAATATATAAACTTTTAAATTAAAATATAGGTCTCTGTATATAATAGAATATTTTACTTTGAATAGAATATGTTTTATTACCAAAAACTAGTGTTAGGCTTCTGTATTTCATCATACACAACAGAAATTCTCTGTCTTCATCAGCTGTACTTTGTCAGTGTCAATGAAGCACTTTATATCTCATAGACCAATCTTTGCACCAGATAATTGCCATCATTTGTAACTTAATTGCATTCAATTCACCGGAGTCAAAATATGTAATTGATGAAAATCCAACAATTATTAACTAATGTACAGTGATTCATTTAAAATAAAAAAGGCCACCTTAGCACAAGTTTAACTCTGAGTATACATTTAACCATTTGACAGGCAAAAAAGATTGATAGGAAACTACATTTCTGGCAGTTACTAAGACTCAACTAATGACTGAAGTGATTTGCACAGAAAATCAATAAGTCACTTTTTGTTGTGCACTTCACAGGAATAAATGATACAGACTATTAAACATAACCAAATTTGCTTGAGACGCTACAGTAAATCATACCATGTGATTACTCAATTCTCTATCCAAACATCACTTTTAAAGTACTCATTATCAGCCCTGATTTAAAAAAAAAGGGGTTTTCTGTACAAAAAGACTTTGTTGCTTTATGAAAATTTTCTTCTATCTTCTTGTTAATGTCAATTGTAGGACTTGAGAACTTTGTCAGTGCCTGGTTTCAAGGAGCTGTGTTAAGTGTGGGTTATTAATTACCATTAAGGTTAAAAGTTTGATTTTAAAACAATTTGGAATTAAGATTTTGAGTCAGAGAGACTTCAGAAATGAAGTAATTAATTGATCAGGACTGTTGTTCTCACATTTTTAATCAAATTACTGTTTCTGTACCACTAAAGTTAGAGAGCTACAAAGAACTGTGGCACTTGATGTGCTGCTTCAAATTACATAGGAATTTTTTAGAAGTACCTACAACACATCTGAAACAATTTCTTAGATATTTAGTTTAAATATATTTGCGTATGTTTAGCATGGAAAATCCAAATAATCTTCCAGATATCTCCAATAGCTAACAAACATTCTCCAATCAAATTCAATTGAGTTGTCCCAGGATAAGATTTCTTTGAAAAGTAGTACACAAATTCCTTCAATTTGATTGGAATTCTTCCTCTGTCAGCTTTAACTCTTCCAAATTTTGTCATTTTCCAGAAAGGTTCTGGAATTCTGATGTTTCCTCTGAAAACAAAACAGCAGAACTGTTACTATGCTCATAGCAGTGAACATGTCAGCACAAGAAAGAGGAAATTTTATTGATCTGAAAAACATCTCTTGTACTGTAGCAAGTAATAAAATACTTTGACAAACAAAACATTCTAGCAATGCATTTTTGTGGAATCAGTGCTGTTCTGGAATGTAAGTAATTTATCAAGGGGAATAGTTGTATAGTCCTGGCATTAATGATGAATGTAAAGTTACAAATCTAAGTGCTTAGCCAAAGTGTGCCATAACAAGAAGGATTTAAATGTGAAACACCACTAGCAGGATCCATGTCACATATCTCAGTAATAGGAAAATAAGGTGGCACGCCCATCCTAATTTTTCAGGTTTCCTTTCTAGTCAATGGAAAGGAGTGGGTATGTTTGGAAATTGATTCATGTAACCCTAAGAAAGATTTCAGAGCAAAGAGAGATGCCTGCATTCTGAAGGTTGCAATATGTCTTTCTGCACTGGCTTTTGAGGGAGTTTAGGAACACCAGGGATTAAGTATCCTTTCAGGTATATTTCATTAAATAGGATAATCTGAAATTAAACTGTGATTAAAGGTAATTATGTAGTGTCAACTAAATTCTTCAATATTAATTGTATTTTTCTGATCTTTGCCTCCTCAGTAACCATTTACTTCGTCTCCCCTCCTTCAGCAGGCATTTATAAATTGTTTACTATTTTATCTAAGACTTAAAAGTTGGCTCAATCTCTATTTAAAATTTAAACAAAAGTTTAAACTTCACAAGTCTATATCTATCTGATAAATATTCTGAGAAATAACCTCTTTACAATTTAAATGCAAAATCCTGCCCCCTCTACTTTCAGAGCAATGGATTTTATGTGATATATGATGTTTCAATTACAGTTTAAATCAATTATATTATTCTAAAATAGTATTAGCTATAGCTATAGATTAGTTACAAATTCTGTATTACACATCATATGTTAGAAAAATAAATATATTGTGAGTTACTTTTAAAATAATTAGTCTCCTAAGAAATGAGAATTTGGATGGAAGACTGCTAATCCAGTCAAATGTGTTGACTACAAGATGATTGCAAAAAATCTCATCACGTTTTCAATTGCTGGACATCTCTAAGTTTAAAAATACGAAGCTCAAACTTTGTTATGAAAATCTGCATTCTTTCAGCTTCACTCTTGAAGTAAGAGTATGCAAATCTTCTGGAAATTATTGTCTTTCTTTGCATGCGTGTGAGGTAAATTGAATCTTTCTCTGTACTTGTTAACACCAGAATTGTTTCATTTCCTTTGTATTTAATTCTACTAGGGACCTTGTAGCACCTGGTATTGTCAAAATTGTTGGGAGAACTAAAAGCATGGATTTAATCAGTCCTAATTTTCACTTCAGCATTACTTGGTGTGGTGTTCTTAAGAATTCTAGAACACATCATTATTATTAGCACTACTCTTAAAAATGTTGGAAATACAATTTAAACAGAAGAAGATCAGTGCACTAAGACATAATTTTCCAGGTTCATGCCACTTGCATCAGACCACAAGTGAGCCCACAGTATCTGTTTAATACAAAATTTCATTTTGCAAATACCAATAAAACGTCCTCTACATAGCTAAAAACTGATTTTTCAAAACTTTCTATGTTAAACAGGATTTACAACTTGCACCTGTTAGCACAGGCGTGACTGGACACACAATTTTGCCTCTAGACACTTATAATTTCTAATCCCTTTTCATAGTGTGGTATGAAGATGTTATGAATTAAAGACCAGGATATGATGTTGAAGACTGATTCATCAGCAAAGATGGCTTGCCTTGGGGTGGTTGGAATAATTTCCTCTGCTCTTGATCTTGCACTTCTCTGAGCATTTCCCTTGCCTGCCCAGGGGGGACAGCTCTGCTACCTGTGAAGCAGAAGCAGTTTTTGAGCTGCTAGTTGATAGACCAGTTAATTAAAATAAATTGATACCAATTCTTGTTTAGTTTATAGCTGTAGTCCTTGCAGCTGTAAAAACATGTGGCTGTAAAAGTAACTGAGCCCTCCCTAAGACACCAGTGGGTAAAAGGAGGGTGGATAGCCACACTGAAAATAAAGGCAGCTGTCCAAAGTTAAACCATCCCTGCTTGTGAATCAAAATCTTGATTATGCTAAGACACCTCATGTCCATTCTATTAGTCCACTTTGACTCCTTAGCACCTCTAGGTTAGAGTAAAGTGTAAATGGCATCAGGGGTCAGGTCATAAATTTACTTTTTAAGAGTAAAGTATCTACAGTATATATATAAAGTATATAATACCTAAGTATAGGTATTCTTTTTCCTGGTTAACGCTTGAGAAGACAATTTCTGGCAAATCACTTAAAAAAATTAAATTTCTGTATCTCAATGCATGAAGACAATGCAAATAAGTGTCATGCTAAACAAAGTAAATATTTGCTGGTTTACTACTCAATCTTTCTGAATAAAATAGCGTGCACGATAGTGCACTAAATTAATTTCTTTATAACTCTGTCATTGCAGTCATACCTTTAATTTATTTGATGTGTCTGATTGTTCAGCAGCACATATCTATAGAATACAATATTGACAAAATATTAACTATAATATTTCTTTGGTCTGCATTAACAACTAGCAGATGCAAACCAATAGAAAGTCAGCCTGGTCTCTTGTGTTTCAGAAAAATTAATTAGAAATAAAATTAACACGAATAGTGATGCATTTATATTTCAAATAAAGCTACATCTAAGTTTTGTTACAGCACTTTAAGAAAATAACTTTTCCTACTGCTGTCACTTAAAAAGTTCCTCTAAGCCTGCACCTTGCATGATTTTTAGCCTGCAAGTCCATGTGAGACTGCTTCTCATTTTGGCTTGTGAGTCAGAACACTGCAATCAGAAGTAGTTCTAAATAGACCTATCTTTAGCTTCCTAGAAAAATCTTTACCTACAGAAAGACAAGAGAGGTGTGTTTCCCAACTTGATAATGTTAAATTCAGGGTACATATCTCTATCAAAACTCCTGTGAGCAAGACTAGGCCAAAAGCTCAAATCACATTTGAAGTCTACCTTCAGTAGTCTATATTTGTGGAAAAGCTTTGCACAGACCAGGAAATTACTCAGTCTGCAGTTTCAAGTACAGTGAGGAGTAACATAGACTGAATGAGGGTTTTCCCTCTTCCTAAGCAATGCTTGGTACAAAGTTCAAGAAAATAGAAAATTGCTGCAGGGAATGGTCTGAATTCTGTCAGAGGTGGGGAAGTCCCTCTGAAGTAGTCAGGTATGGAGAAATCTGGTGAAATCCCAATTGGAAAAGCCTTTAAGAGAGTACTAGTATCAGCCACTTACGGCTGCACTGCCGGGGTGTGGATACAGTGGGGAGCAGAAGTCTCACTTCCACCAGAGGTTCCAGGAAGGTAAAGGACATGAAATTGCACAGTTTCCTTGTTTCGCAAGTTGTTTTCCTAAAGGAGCAGTAAGACCAGAACAAGTTAAGTATGCACTTGTGCACAAGTGTACGTGAAAGAAATTCTAGAAAAGTTGTGAGAGAAGAACCAGAATCACAGGAGTATGAGTTTGAAAGCAGCGGTCTATGGGCCACGATTTGCATCCCTGTTTATTCTGAGCTCAGGTTAATTTTGGCCTGAGTATGCACAGCTCTCTTCTTCCCATCCTGTATGTGTTTCAGTTTCTTCAGCCAGGACTTGAGTGAAGGAAGGAGCTCAGAGGGAAATATAACATAATTGGCACTGAATCTTAGATGGGCATCAAGAGGCAGGGGATCTGAGATTAAAAACTGGGCTGAAATGAAGCAATTATCTAAAATGAAGAATATTAGAATGAAATCCATACTTATATTTTGCCCAGCCAAGCCCCAGAAGGAGAGCCAGAACTTGGAGTACAACATCAAACCTAATTGTACACTGGGTCCTTAATCACTCTGTGAACAACAAGTGCAATAAGATACAGTTGATACCAGCCTTCCACAGGGAGGAGAGCTGTCCTCAAATGCTTGAATAATAAAAATTAACATTCACAATCCTTGTTTCTGCTGAAAGCGGTAGTATAATAAGTCCTGTATAAAATGAAGATGAACTTTTACTACTGAAGGAGTTGTTTGGTTTGGGTTCTTTTTTCAAATCGCTTTTGTTTTAAACTCTGCACTCAGGAAGATCTGTTCACAAGCTCAGCACAGAACCACTGAGAATCATTCATGAGACACTGGAAGAGTCTTCTGATTGGATTTATGGCTTTTTTTCTTTATTGTCTGACATCGTATGGAGTGATGATGATGACAGTGATGAAGGTATTTGTAATGTAAAGACTTCTGTAACTGCTCTAACTGCTTTTTTACACGCATTAAAACGGCTTACTCAGCTTTTAACATCACAGACAAGAAGGTCAAACAAAAGGGAAAAGTGAACATTACTGCTAATAAAGCATCCACTGGCTATTCTAATCAGTAAATTGGTCTCTTTGTTAGCTTTCATCTCATGTTTAATGTACTATTACAGAAAAGATGTCAGAATTAAATATTACCATTAGTACATCTTGAAGAAAAGAACACTAATTTATATACGACTTCAAAGCCACAACCAAAATATGCATCAGGATATTGCTTCGGAGAATGAAAATGACTATTTTCCTTTAATCAGCAAGAATCTAAAGAACCCTGGAAAATATTCAAGATACACCAAGAAATTTAGAACTTTTTTCAATCTGACATATTGATAATGGAGCAATATATTAAAAGGAAAAAAGAATATAACATTTCAACTGAACTTACGGGATTTTGGATGGCATATTGCAAATAATTCAGTTTACTAGAAATTATTTTGCTATTATGGTACCATTCTTCATGACATAATCAGATAAAAGAAAGTAAATTACTAATATTTTGATTTTGGAAATAACTCTCTTTCTGTTAATAAAAAACAAAAACTAAACCAAAACAAAAAAATAAAACTGAGTTCCCCAGTATGAGCAGAGACTGCTCACAGTCAGTAGTGGATCATCATGTCACATCACATTGGTCATTCTGACAAGCGATAAGTGTAGGAGTGACATCTTCATTTCACGGTAGTTTATTTTACATTCCATTTGGCTACACCAGAATATAATTAAAAAGTGACATGTACTGAAACTGACTTCTACCCATTTGTTCAGAAACCTGAGATATTACCTAGTGTTTACCTTTTAAATGTGTGCATGAGCTTTTTATATTAGCTTCGTATATGAATGCTAATAGATAGGCTGCTACACGTGAGTCTGTGAATTGGGCATCCTATTCTGAGATATGATTTATAACTAGCAGAAAGCCAGTCTCTCCTAAGGCTGACAAATAGAAAAGATGAAAAATAGACAGCTTTGTAAAATTCGATCAGTGTGTATTTTTAGGATTTCATAGCTCCCAAAGTACATGCAAACTTTCAAACACTTGAGTGTCTAAGTGTTAATGGCAGTAGTAAAAGTCATGAAGTACCTGACAGACAAAAATTCGAGATCTGATGTTCACTAGATTTGGAAACCTTAGCTCTGGCAGTGTTTTACCCAAGTGGAATTTCATCACCAAACAGGAGTGTGAATAGGCAGCAAGGCATCTTAATGCACTATATCATAAAAATTAAGTGCTTTGAGCACCCTGCCCACTCTGGACTGCAGTCAGTGCAGCTGAGGCTGCACCCTGGCCAGCCATTCGGGATCACTCCTTCAAATTCCCTGTCCTACATATTGCAGCAATCAAGTGCTTATAGTTACACTGAAATGGATTCTTTTTTGCCTTGGCCATTGCTAGATTTACAATCTTGCTTAATTTCATATATACTTTATTTGGAATTAAAAAAGAACCAGTGAGCCTTTCCTAAAAATGTGGAAACATGCATAAAGTACATTTTTAATTGTAGTCACAAGTTAATATTCAGAAGCACAAATAGAGATTTGGATATTTCCTTAGTTACTACCGTACCTTGAATTTATCTACCCAAAACGCTATGGCAATTTAGATTTTTAATGAAAAATCCAAAATCTCAGAATTGATGCTTGTCATTTAGCAAAAAAGAAGAACAAATATTTTTTGAAATAAAATGAGCCAACATGAAAAAAAGTGTTGTTTTTTTTGTTTTGTTTTGTGAATGGTTTTTGTTTTGTTTTGTTTTGGGTTTTGTTGGTTTGTGGGTTTTTTTAATCTTTTCTCTGATACCTGTTTTTTTCTCTTGGTTTAGGTGAAGTGGAACCTTCCCTGAAAAAAGGTTGGTCAGTTGCTTGATAATAGAGGGAAAATATTTAGTAATCTTTTTAAGAATTAATTGTATATCTGTGATATAAATTCTGACAATAGTTGCATGGCAGTCTACTAGCCTTTTCAGTTGTGCTCTAGCAAACCTCTTAAATGCAAAACACAAATAATAATATTTACTGAGCTGTTCGTTGTAAGAATTTGTAAGAATTATTTACTATTTCATTATTAACTTACTATTTCATTATTCTTTATTATTTAATTATTACACAAAATCTGAAAAAAAATCATATGAAAATAAAATTAGAGAAATGTTATTTATGTCCTTGCCATGCTTGTGGGACTTCTCTTAGTGCAAAGGAGTTATATGTATGTCTGTATATAAATAAAGTTCAGGAATAATAATATGGAAAGTATATTTAGTGAGAAATAATGATGAGGTACTGTCAAGCATTTTACCTGAAGCCAACACAGGCCCCTAAAGAAAGGACTGTATCCTAGTCTTCTGAAAAAATTACTTAGTTATCATTGAATTTTTAAAGCAGACAAGTGAAGGAAGCAGGATTTATATTATAATCTTTATGGATATTGAAATTGTTTTGGTGAAACATAAAACTTCTATTCAACTTCTATTAAATAAAAATGCAAATGTATTAGAAGGCTGGAATTACTGATGATAGAATGTAAATCTTTTCAAAACTAGGGCGTGTTTTTTCTCCATATTTAGCAAAGCTCAAGAATAGTAGGATGTGTAAGCAGCCCTATGTGAACTGAATTTGGAATCCATCAACTTCTCAAGGGGCAAATTCCCATATTGATGAATCTAGCACCCCAGTTGCTTCTGGGATTACAATTCAGTTTTCTCTGAAGTTAAATGGAACTGGATCAGGCTTCTATTTAATGAAATAATCTGTCAATCTCAATCTGTAATCCAATTAATTAATAGGCTTGAAGACCTGGAGCAGTTATCTTTCTATTGACGACTCCTCATGTTAGGAAAAATTGCAGACAGTGTAGGAAAATATTTCCTCTCTTTACTTCTTCTGTGAGAACTGTAAAACCTTCAGCCTTGTGTCTTTTCCCATAGAGACAGGGGCATTTTTAATTTTACAGAAGGTGCACAGAGTCTGAAGGTGTAGCACATTATTGGCAAGGATGTCCATGGGTGGAATGTGTCTTCTCACCACGGGCCAGCATAGGGGCCAGGCTCAAAGTGCTGTTACTTCATGGCTAGGAGGGCACAATCCATAAAAACACTATGGACAACACCATGCTCAGCATTGCAATCCTTCTCTGGAAATCAGTGACATAGGCCTTACCCCTTGCATCGGGGCAGAACGATGTAGAAACAGAATTCGGAGAAGTCATCTAAACACGCTCAAGGCTCTGTAAATTGTAAGCAATTGGAAGTTACTGTATGGTTGTTTGGACCTAAAATTGCTCCATCCAAGGAGCTGAGTATCTAACTGCCAGCTGGGAATGTTTTCCTTAATATTCAAAGCTTCTGGCCCTGGACATGAATCCTGAGAGGGTCTTCTATCTTTGGTATAAAGGAAATGGACAAGAACCTGATGATTTCTCCTGATCTGGTACCTTACAGGATAACGCAGCCACACAGATGTGAAAAGGCTCAAATTCAAACACATTTCACCTTCCAGAACAGTAAAACAAATTTTGAGTGGGCTTTTCCACTTCCTGAGTGTGCTCAAGATTCTCCCTCTGTCTTTTAGAGTACAAGCATTGTGTCCCTGCACAACACTTTCTCTTGACTGTGCCTGCTGAAGATAGTGCCCCTTTCTGTCATAAGTATTGCCATAAGCTTTCACATAGCAACATCCTCAAATAACTTACCATCCCCAGGTGACTGGAGGTCTCCATTTCATCCTGGCAGCCAGGATCTGGCCTTGTTTATACTTGATTTTGTCACCTCTTTTACTGAGCTACAGAAATACAACATATGTGGCCTGAAGCCACGAGTCCCTTGCAAATGCCAGTGCAGAGTTCTGCACGTGTCTCCTCAGTGACCGACACCTCTCAGCCCCTCAGAGTTGCTCCTGTCTCTCTGCAGACTCCTCTTAAAACTGTATAAACATCAAGGAGCTCAATTTCTGGGGTCTAAGGCTGAACAGAAGCTTTCTGAGAGCTCTGAGGTGTGGTGTAGGGAACAGCTTTTCTCCTTAGGCACTGTGAAATCCTCTCCCAGCGCTGAAGGTCATGAGCGCAGAAGGCAGAGCCCTGGGAGGTGAGCTGAGGGCTCAGGTGAGCTCCTGCAGGTAGCACTCTCACAATCATCACAATCTGTTCCCCTGAGCACAAGGTGCAGAGCTCTCCAAGTAGCTTTTCTCAATTAATTTGTGCTGTCATTTACATGGTCCATAAATAAGACTTCCAGAAGAAAAGCTTTCCAAAACAAAACAAAACAAAACAAAACAAAACAAAACGTGGCATTGGTGATTCTTTACATGTTGCTGTTAGGGCTGGACCCAAAAGAGAACCATCTATACAAATAGATCAGGGGGTTTTTGGATGTCAAAACATTAGTTTGATTCCTGAAATTAGAAGCAAAGTTTTTGGTTATGGAATTTTCTCTGCCTACTTGTAAAGGGCCATTTCTGCATCAAATTCCCTTTAAGTCTGAGCAGCAATTTAATCGGTAGCTTTATGAAGGATCCTTCTTTAGGTGACACTGGCATTTGAACTTTCTAAACAAAAAAAAAGTACCAGTGAGATTTTGCAGTACACTACTGCTGTCTCCAGAATATGAAAAAATTGACATTTTTTCACATTTTTATGGCAAACCTCTCTCAAATTTCACTCTGGAAATGTGCAATATGGTTGCTGAGGCTGATACTTAAGTGTTTGTATTGGATTTAACTCAAAGTTATTGTGGTATTCATGAATAGAATGAGAATTTTTGAAAAATCTCCGTGTCTGTTTTTAATGAATGGACAAGCCTTCACTCTAGCAGCTTTTTTGAATCCTAAAATGTTTGCACAAAATTTACTTTATAATGTAATATAGTAACTGAAGTAATAAGATTGCTGATATCACAATACAATTGCATATTGGAAAAAATTCAAGGGGAGTGGCAAGGACATTGTCTAGCCATGAAAGAGGAAAAGTCTAATCATAATTATGATCCCAAAGAAAGCAAAGATCACTTTCCTAGAGATGCAAATTAAAAGCAAAGATAATAGAAGTACAAGTAATGACAATGGGCTTCCATAGGCAATGGGATTAATATCAGTTTCAGAATCCTTTGGAGATATGAAAATATCTCTCAAGCACCTTTTTTTCATTGCAATTATTTTTGCCAGTCCAAGTCTTATCACTAATGTTTATCTTCAATAATTGGAAAAGAATGAACATTTAATATTGTCTGGCAAAGCAGTATTCTTCAGTGGACATAGAGAAAGATGATGCTGGAGGGGACATTGGAGTCTTTAACAATGCATATTCTAGACATGCAAAAACTATAGGGCATTTTCACAAATGGCAGAGAGGTTTAATTCTTTCAGGCTTAATTTGCTTTTAGTTTCTTTTTTTTTCTATAATAGTTATGATTAATAATCTTGTTAATTTTTTCAGGGTTAGTTTCACCTTAAGAGACACATTCTCTTATTTGAGAGCTGCATGCCTGTATGGTTTTACTAGAAATTATTGCTATAAAAAAGAAAGTGGAGGGTGTTTTGTTTGTTTGTTTGTTTGTTTGTTTGTTTTTGTCGGCATTACTGGCCTCAGTTGTGAGTTTGGAAAAGAGTTGACAAAACACAAATTTGGAAATGAAGATGTGCAAACAGTAAAGAACTACAAACACTTCAACATTGAGAACCATGCCTAAAAAGGTCTTTATTAAATTGAAAATAATTTTAGTTTCAATAAATACTATTCCATTAAAAAGCAGAGAAATAAATAAAGCACCATTTTGACAGTTATGTATCTCAGTATTACCAAAAAGTTCTATTATTTGCATAAGATTATTCTTACCAACAATCAAAAGAACATTTCCTTCAGGTAGAGATGGATCTTTAATTTTTCTGTGAGTTAGTCTATATGTGAGACAGAAAAATATGTTTTTGACTTTTTTCTTAGGAAAATGTGATTTTAAAAAATCATAAATTGCGACAAGAAGCCAACACAGACTAGAAATTTCTGTTAAAGGTCTCAAGAAATTTTGTAAAAGACAAATAAACTTTTTGGCAAGGCACCCTATCCATCTGTCTTCAGCTCAAATGAGAGTATAGTTGCCAGAGTATTAGGCTGGTTATTAATATGCTGAAGACACATCATGCTCTTAAAAGACATGTCAGCTTCTAAGGGGATTGTCGGTTACCCTGACTCACCCTCAGCAGCCCTGGCCAAGGTGTCGTTCCCCGAGACCTGAAGCCAGACACCCACTAGTATTCACCCCTTCTCCACCCCAAGGTAGTCAGAATTTAGTCAGCACAATCTATTGGCTTGTACAGACCTGGTTATTGATCTGTGATAACAAACAAAGTGCTCCCAAAAGGAAGGGTTCTCAGACCAGACAATTTCCTGCATAGTTTTTTGGTGCTGTGATCAAGTGAACAAACTATTAGTCCTACAATTTATCATGTGTGTCAGACTGTTTTTAACTATTTAAGTACCTAAGAATGTCGGATTAGAGCAAAAGCCCAGCTGACTCAGTGGATGGGACAGAAGTCCTTAATGCTGCCCTAGAGTGACCAGTGCAAATGCCTCAGGAAATATATCAGAACTATTAAAAATACAGTTATAATTTACCGTACTCCAAGCATTTTCCCAGTGAAGGGACACAGTGTTTGCATGGCTGTAATCCAACTACAACTTCTTGTGAACCCAAGGCTACAGGCGGTTTTAAAATGAACAAGAGACAATAAATTCAGAATATTATAAATGCAACCTGAAAACTGTGTTACCAGTGCAGTTGTCATATATGTGTCTTAAAAAATAATTAGACAGTTCCATTCATCCCTAAAGTATATACTTGTTTGTACTGATAATGCCTTCTGA